AAAAAAAAAGCAGGGTCTCCTCCCTCGCCTTGCCGCCTGCAGCAGAGATGGATTTCACCGACCAAGACCGTCGCAGCATCTCGCCTGTGTGGCCAGCCCGACTCCGAAAAAGGCCCACGTTACACTTTATGCTCAGCCGCGCGTGAGGGTGTGCAGCGTGTGTCCTCCTTTTAGGCTTTTTGTTTTGCCTTTTCTCCCTTGGCTCGGCAAGATCTGCTTATCGGCGGCCGGCCGAGCGGCTTGCCACCGCCTGCCACACTCGCTTAACTTAGCCAGCGCTCGCTCGCCCGCCCAGAAGTCAGCGCAGTGTGGGTCGCGCGTGGGCCGGAATGTGATGCCCGCTGATGTGGGCGATAAAGTGGCGAGTCAAGTCGACTCAGCAACGGCCATCCAATCTAGCCTCCCCGCATGCCAGTCTGTGCACGTTGCCTTCTTTCCTGTTGAGAGCGGCACCTCATCAAATGGGATGATCCATCGATCAGCCATTACTAGCTGCCACCACGCCCTCCATCATCTACAGCCTACCTCCGACACCAACGCAAACCTCGTCCGAGGTCATCCTCCTTCGCTTCGGATCCAGTCGCACATCTCGACGCTTCGACGCCCAACACGACCTTCCCGACTCACGCATACAGCATAGGCGGACGTCCGTCGCCTGGAGTGCCATGGCGCATGTTTCTGCCATCCCAGTGAGCGGCGCCTCTCACATGGACCGCTCCGTCTCCTCGGCTTCATCAGCACATTTCAGCGCCTCATCTTCGCCTGGCATGACCACCTCCGTCGTCGCTTCGGACCTCGCGAGCAACGACGACAACCTCTCCGCTATGGACGAGGAATCGGTCTCCATGCCTGCAACGCCACCCGATGCATCTCACATGGGCCATCTCCACATCCTCGACTCTGCGGCCTCTGCAGGCACCGGCGCGATGAACGCCACCGCACAGCCAGTCAAGAAGCCCGAGCTCTTTCTCTCGATCACTCGAGCCAATCGACCAAAGCTCGTGCTTTCCCCAACGGACCGGGAGCGCTTCACCCAGCACATCCAAGAGAGCAAGAACAGGTTCGCCTCCGACACTGCATATCTTCCCAAGTCGACCAACATGGGCCTTAGCGACGTCGACGCCGCCGCCCTGCTCTCGGTGAATCCGTTCAACTTTGCGCGCCCCAATGCACAGAGCTGGGAGGACGACGACGTCGATGTCGACCACGGTCGAGCGCGTGCGGCAGCCAAACCCGGCAAGACCGTCTTTATGAACGCTTTCCCTTGCATCTTTGTCTCGAACCTCACCAACTCGATCTCGTTCTACCAGAAGCTGCTAGGCTTCTCGGCCATCGGCAAACCAGCCAGCCACCAGGCAGTGCTGCGCCGTGGGCCTGCCGCACGTCCGCCGCGCTCGGCTAGCCAGCCATACTCGGCCATCCCCTCGGCCGCCGAGGAGCTCGGCGTGCGCATCGTACTGCGTTACCTGCCTGCCGAGTGGGGTGAGCTGAAGGGCGACGGCTCTGGGCCGCCGCAACTGCTCATCGTCGTCAGCAACGTCGACGAGCTCTTCCAAGAGATTGTGAGCAAGCAGCAGCAGTTCAAGCCCAACGGCCGCGAGTACTTCCCCGAAGTGTTCCTGGGCAAGGCCAAGCTGATCGGCAAGCCGCAGAACAAGCCGTGGGGAACACGCGAGCTGCACGTCCTCGACCCCGATGGCAACAAGATCATTTTCTACCACGAGCTCAACTGAGGCTTGGTGGTGGCCCCTTTCTCAGTCTCCTCTTTAGATACCCGCACCGACCGCGTGTCGCCGTGCCTCGACGTGATGCGTCGACTGTAACACCACCGCTCGCCTTTTCTGCTCCCGTTCTCGCATTGGTCCGCCTTGCAACCTTGTATCAACAGCTTCAGCGCATTCAAATGAATAGCACAACCTCCCCACTCTATCTCCATCTCGTTCTGTGTGCGGCAGCGAAGGTCAGGTGAAGCCCGCAGAGCGGCTCATTGCAGTGGTCTGGCAAGGGAACTGTGTCGGAGGATGACAGTCTAGTACTCGGGAGGTGCTTCGGAGGTGATGCTGGCGGTTTCGGCGTACTGACGGGTGCCCATCTCGGTGAGACGCGAGACGACACGTGCAAAGGCGAACAGTTCCTCGTCGCCGGTGAAGATGGGAGAGCCTCCAATGTCGTCCATGGTGAGACCAAGATCATCCATGAGGGCACGCATCTGGTCGGCGGTGGGTTTGGCCTTGCCTGCGTCGCCCGAAAAGATCTGCAGGATGGGCACCTCGCTCGACGCGAGCAGCTTGGTCTTGCTCTCGTAGGCGGCGTCGATAAAGGTGATGAAGCGGCGTGCGAGGTCGCGCTGGTTGAGGCCCATCTTGGGCACAGCGTCGACAAAGATGGTGCCAAAGTTGTTGCAGATCTCGATGTAGTCCGCCGCCGACCTCGGGCGGCCGCAGAGCTCGTCAAACGTGAATCGCGCCACCTTTTGCGACGATTGCGGGACGTGGAGCGTTCGTCCCCAGATCTTGAGCGCACGGTTCTCGACGACGGGGTCGTGCGGGTCCGAGGTGGCGGCATCGAAGAGCTTGTCGAATTCGCGGGTATTGGCATCGTCGAGCGGGTCAAAGTAGACCTTGGAGAGCGCGCGGGGCACTTTTCGGTAGTCGGTGCCCGAGTTGAGGTCGGTCACGCGGAACTGCGACTTGAGCAGATCGATGCAGGGGAGGAAGCTCTGACGCTGGATGCCGTTCTTGTAGAGCTCGTCCGGATGGCGGTTGCTCGTCATGACCATGACGACACCGTAGGCGAGCATGCGCTCGAGCAAGCCGCGCAGGATCATGGCGTCTGCAATGTCGGTCACCTGGAACTCGTCAAAGCACAGCACCGAATGGTTGCGCGCCATTTCGCGCGCCACGGCCTCAATCGCGTCGCTCTCCTCGCCCGCGCTTGCTGAGGAAGCAGACGCCGATGAAGAAGAAGAAGAAGCGGCGGACGAGGCGGCGGAGGACATCATCATGACAATGCCGGACGGCTTGTGCGTTTTGGACTTGTAAAAATGCGCGCGCTTGTGTGCCTCGATCATGAATTGGTGAAAGTGGATGCGGCGCTTGGCGGTGATGTTGGACGGGAGCGTGTCGTAGAAGAGGTCCATGAGCATGCTCTTTCCGGTGCCGACGTCTCCGTACAGGTAGAGGCCCTTGGGAATGTCTGGCGAGATGGGAGGGATCTCCTGGGTGTTGGACTTGGTGCCGAAAGGAAGCCAGGAGAGGAAGCCTTTGGAAGCTTGCAAATGCGCTTCGGGATCCGGCACGTCGGGCTGTTTGTAGGTGCGGAGCTGATCATGCAGAGATTGAAGCACCTTGATGATGCCTCGCTGGTGGTCGTCACTTCGAAGGACGCCGGACTGAACGAGCTCTTCGTAACGTTCGACGGGGGTTGTTGCCTTGGTCTTGCCGCTCTTGGCAGCTGAGCCAGAGGATGCGGAGCTCGAGATGGAGCGAGGAGAAGAGCCCTGGCCGCGCAGAGCTGACGTCGTGTCGACAGCCGCGGAGGCCTTGCGAGCGTTGGATGACCAGCGGCGTGCAAGGGCGGGGGTGACGAGGCGTCGGCCGCCGACTTGGCGAGCACGCGGTGCCAGACGAGCTATCGAACTGGAGGCGAGGCGAGGCGCACTCATGATGACGAGTGGACGGAGACAAGTTGGTGGGAGGTCGGACGAAGGAACACCAAACGCACGCTTGGGCCTTTGCTTGTGTTTCAGGCCTGTGCGAGCGGGCGATTTAGAACTCGCCGTCCGGGCTTTTCTTCCGCAGTGCTGTCCCGCCC